CACACACACACACACACACACACCTTCATAACTACCCTATGGGTAAGGGCATAGTGTTTACTATGCAGGATATGAACTTAAGTATGGAAATGATAACTAGTCGGAGCACATCTTTTCAGTGTGCGATCAGCCATTCGATAACACGAGGTCATGTGTTGGAAATGTAGATAATGTTTTACATAATTCTCAAAGTGTTCCTTGTTTGACACTGGGTGTGCAGTGCCACAGAACAGGAATAACAAACTGATACAGAGCTACAGATACACAGAGGGACGTTTTGAATTTTATTATTGTTAATTCAGGTTAACAGGAGCGAGAAAGCACTGACATGCTATTTCAGGGGAATCGAGTGCAGTTTAAGTTTCAGCTGCTCAGCTTTGTGTTTTAACCAGTGGTGTGAAATTTCAGGAACCACAGTTCCTGAGGGTCTTTAGGAATTTTTAAAGATTTTTAAAAAGAAAAGTAAGGTCATGAAATGTCTTAAAGTTTTATATTTACTTGTCAGAGGTTTTCAGTTTACATATGTCCTAACTGTGGATGCCCTGATCCAACTTTCTATACTTCCACTTCCGATTTGATACCTTGGCTTTGAGTATCTGCCGATATAAGTCGGATATAAGCTGTGATCCTCACTTTAAGGAAGAATTTGGGAATCGTAAGGCAAAATCAGGCTACACAACATTTTCTAATTTAACCTTTATTTAAACAGGAAGTCCCTTAAAGATTAAAATCTATTTTTCCATGGAGGCCTGACCGAGAACGCATACCATTACAAGGTTTCGAATGTTTCTAAAATAAAATAGAACAGACGTGGGAAAATTTTAAAGCAAATTGGAAACGAATTACATAATAGAAAGCCTAGTTAGGGAACCTTTATTAGAGGTTTAAACTCTAAAAGTTTACTTACTCTGTGTGCTGCTCTTCCAAATTCTGAAAAAAAACCCTGGATACTCTGGGGTGGAAGGATGTAGAGGAGCTGCAGATGCATTCAGGAATTGAAATATACTGCATTGGTATGTATTAGTGAAATAATAAATAACATGACTGAGATAAACACAGTGAAACATTAATAAATGTGTAGCTGTTAGCCGTCCTTTGCTGTATCCTGATTTCAGCTCAAAGTTAGATTCAAGCAAAACCATGCTAGTTTCTCCCTTTCCTGTGTATTTGGGGAGCTTACAGGAAACTGCTTAAGTGAAATAATGCTATTCAAATTGAGCAAAGTTGACTTTAAGCTCTGTCAAAAGCTTCCCAAAAGGTTTTGAGCTACACCAGTCCTTGGAACTGAAACGATGGCACGGCGTGTCACCTGATTCACATTTCTCTAATCAGAATTTTTTTTCTTTTCTTTTCTTTTCTTTTCTTTTCTTTTCTTTTCTTTTCTTTTCTTTTCTTTTTTTAAATTATCTTGCATTGACAAACAATGAGAGGAGGAGAAGAAGAAGCTAGACAGACGAGGAAATGTAGAAATAGTAAAAGAATATGGCTCCAATTTTTGAGTTTTGAAATGGTTTCAAGATGTGCTCAGAAACTTTAACTTTAGATGACGGGATTTAAGACAATCAAGTTCCAGATAATGACTAGAAGAGTATCAACCCTCTGCTGATATTTGGAAAACTTTGTTGCCAGTAGAGTCTTTTATCTTTGCAGTTCCTTCTGGTCCAAAGACTAGTGACACTGGGCATGATGAACCACCCACAGTGTTATTGTTAAGAATAAGTTAAGGCAACTCTTCACGCGATAGACGGTCAGTTGTTATACAAAGAGATAAAACTACATCACACCGCTAGAGTTGGTATTGTTCTCCTGTGGAACTGGTATCCATTTGTCCTTATTAAGAAGTCTTAAAATTGATTCCTATTTCTGTATGCATTCCTGTATCTTTAGACCCAAGTGGCGCTGATAATTTTAGGAGTAAACAAATTGCTCACTTCGAGCTTCTCCCCTGTAAACTTTTACTGCTGTTCTCGATCCTTGTACAATTTCAGCTTCTAAAAATGTTGCCAGTTATATGGAGAAATAAGACAAGATGGACATAAGTTTATTTGTGGGTTTGATCTCTCTTGGCTGTGTGTTTTTACAATGAATTTCTGATAAGGTTTCATTGCTGATGTTGAAGCTATCTGGAATAAGATGCTCTTTTTTTTTGGATCTTGCAACTGTGCTAAGCTCAGACATTACAAGAATAACCATTAAAGGCATTTGGGGCTCACAGTGAGAGTGCCTGCAGTAGTCTTGGTGTTGTGTTGTGTGAGGGCCGGGGCCGTGGGGAGAGTCGGCGTTGAGTTCCCAGGCCCGGCCAGGCCAAAGGGAACAACATGGCTCTGTTTGGAGCGTCTGTGCTTGTCATCGGTCTCAGGCTTCACTTGTGCCGTCAGTGTCACCACTACATTGTCACTTAGTGCCACTAGGCGTGATATCTAATACAGCAGTGCAGGAACACGGCCAATCGGCAACCTGTGGCTTTCATCTGTTGGCGCCGGTTTGAAACGTGGAAGCATATTTTTGGACAGATGATGTCATGTTTTGTGTTGTGGAGAAGTGGTACACAATAACCTTTGACTTCTTACATTTCTCTTAATTAATAAGTAAAGCTGTGATGGCTAAAAAAAATAACATGCACCAAATGATGTCCCCTTCCCTGTAAACTACTTTAATTCCCATTAACCTGAAAATGTGCTTATTTCAAACTTAGTTTTCTCCAGATCGTTTAATCTTTTCCAACTTCCTCTCTGTTATTTGGGAATCTCAGACCTGCTGACATGCTGGTAAAAAGCGACCCGTTTCCAATTTGTGTGTGCACTGTAAACCAAAATGCCACCAAAATTCCGTTTGTCTTTTAATCATTGACACTTGACACCATGGGCTGGGTCCATATGACTTTTTTGTTGTTGTTTTGGTTTATGTTTATCAAGTAATACAGTTAAATTAACTGGGTTTTATATATTGATATCATTGTCAGGGCGTAGACGGAAGATTTTCGCAGTTGCGACTGTATTAGGCGACAAGCCTCAGAGCTGTGGTCGCATTGTGTCACGATCTGTTGAACGTATTGCTGGTGGAAATTTTGACGTTGCTTCTGTTAACCAATGGATATCATCCTGTATGGTTTTTGCATGTTGATGTAAAACTGAGAGACATTTTTATTTATGCCATATTTCAGTGGACATGCTCAGCTCTCGTGCCCTTTACTCTTAATAATCAAAGCAGGAGGGAAAACTTTTTCCCGCTGTAGCCCTGGATAACAGTAGACCCATGGAAAGGAAAGCACGGATACAAACGGTCATCTATGCAAATGGAAACAAATGTCACTGTGGTGGCAACGTTAGCCATTTGACAGTGTCTGTCAGCTGAAGTGAAGCAAATTCAAATGAGCCCCGGTCTCTATTTAGCACTGTGTAGTTTTATTTCTGTTAGACATATTTGAAATATATTAATGTTACTTATTTACACCCTGATGGATCAAGCCTCCAAAATGCTACTTTATATCTTGCAGTCTGTTCTTAAAGGTGAACCTTATTGTTCTTTAAGCTGGAGCAGAGTTACTGTACGGATGCACTGTTCATATCTTTTGCCTCGGTTCAACTTGTGGAACACTGTCAGTGAGTGTGTAACATGATTTAATATCATCTTATATCGGTTTACAGGCCAAACCTGTGATTATTCCTCCTGTAAGTAATTGGAACTGCTTTGTTCTTAACTTTTTCCCCATTACAGACATCAAGGGCAGTTTCCGTTGTAGTTATCTTTATAGTGGAACATGGGAAGTCCTTGAAGTTTTTCCAGTTCATCACTTGAGGATCCTTACAGAGAGGCAAAAGGTGGCCTGGAAGCCTTCTCTCATGTTTTTTTTTTTTCATCTTATATAAATAACAATAAAAAACTTTATTTATATAGCTACTGTTTTAGGACGTCATGTTATTAAGTTCCTCACAGGACCAGCAAAACAAAGCAAACTGCTCAGTTGTAATAGTTACTAATTGGAAACCTATAATAACAGAATTTGCAAAATTTAGGGAATAAAACAAAGTGCAAAAGGGAAATTAAAAGTCAAGTTGAGAAGAGGTATCAGATAAAAGCATGGGTTAAGATATGACTTAAAGGAGGTGACTGACTCCAACAACCTGATTTCCTCGGGTAGGTTGTTACAGAACCTTTGGGCCGGGACTGCAAACGTTCTATATATCATTTAGTTTAGAGCCGGGCCCTGGAAAATGAAGAACAGTCTTGAACAGTTGTTCACTCTTTTTTTTTTTTTTTTTTTTTTGGCTAAATTTGTCTGCACTCTTTTACTGAGATAACCCATCAAAGTCAGGCCTCTCTGAACATAGTTATCTAACACTGATATACCAAGATTCAATAAATGTGGTGACAATGGCTGACTGAGGAGCCAACTGGTTGTCTGGCTGGCTATGTATGGAAGGATTTGAGGTTATTAGGCTTTTGACCTGTAATAGCTATCTATAAAGTAACCCAAATGAATTTAAGTGTTCGACGGAAGATGCAAGCCATTTGATTTACAACTTTATTTTGATGAGTTAAGTGAAATGTAGGCCATTTTGTTCTTGGTCTTCCTGACCTGTATGACAGATTACATCACAAAAACTTTATTAACATTGAGAGGCTGAGAAATGATCAGTATCTTGAGGCTGGCGATAGAGTGGGGGGGTGGAAATGGCGTGGGAGGAAGAGCATAGGAAAGGGTTAAAAAACTTGTGTTTTAGCAGATTCCCTCCTGGTCTCTTTCTGTCTTATCAGTTCCTCTGTAGGGCACTGTAGCACACACTGCATTTATTCAAAGACCCAGTGTCACACGCCTCTGTGGAAAAGAGCCCTAAGGACCATATTTTTTTTTTCTTTTCTCCTTTCCTTCTTATTGCCCCTTCCACCCCTCATCCTCCCTCCATCAAGCTTCAGCACTCACCAGCCTTTTTGAGCCTTTCTTTAGGGTCTCAGACCCCTTAATGTTTCTTCTATGAGACCTGTACCAGCACTAGTGTTGTCTTACTGATACTGGTTCAGTTGGGGGTTGAATTTCGACTGAAACCGAGGTGAACGCAAACACAGACCAGAAAGCAAATATGGCTGCTTTTTTTTTTTTTTTTTTTTTTGTTCAAGAGGTAAACTGTGTGCTGCAGGAAGCAGATCCACAGTTGTGCAATGTGTTATGTTGCATATTTTGATAGAACAGCTAACAGCTTGGCATGAAACGTCTATCAAAGGCACAAGTGAGGAAAAACCTTAAATGTAAGGCCATATATAATAAAAGGACTGGATCAGTCTTTTTTTTTTTTTTTTTTTTTTTTTTTACCCCCCCACTCCATGTTTAACTGAATCACCGGATCTGCCGAGAGGAGATCTCCCGGAGCATGTGATCATTTATCAGCCTCCCTTCTCCCTTTCTCTCTCCCCCTCTCTCTCTGGTTCGGGGCTACTTTAACCCTCTCTCCAGTCACAGCGAAGAGCCAGTGCTGAGCGCAGAGAGTCATGTGGTGCCTCCATGCTAGAGTAGGAGCCCATTTCAAAGACATGTGGACAAGCAGCGAATAGGAATAATAGCCCAATCACCTCTGTCTAGATTGAACAGAGACTCCTGGAAAGTGTCTTAAAGTCATTTATGAGTTTCTCTCATTAGCTGAAGTACTGAAACTACGCATTTACAGCATAGATGGATGGATTTCATTCACCAGAAGTGCAGGTTATATTTATGTACTTTAGAGGATCTACACTAAGTTTTTAGAAATTCCTGGATAAACATGGCTCAAGGAATTGAATGGGAAAGCAAAATTGCGTACATGCAAGACGTATGTTCTCATGTTGCTTTTAGATTTAGATTGGCGGGAGGACATAGATAACGTCAGACAGACTTAATGAAATGGAGAGAGACATAACAGTTAAGTTCACTCTGACCCTCTCTTCTCTTTAAACGACATCTTGTAGTTTTGTAATTTAAACATGAAAACTTAAGACACCACAGCAGTCCTTACAGAGTGACAGTAGGGGCTGAACTGTATAGTCTCTATTGTGACAGTGAGTGTAACCCCCCCCCCCCCCCCTCCTGCCAATATGACATCTAATCTCTTAATTGACTAATACAGATGGTGTTTGTTAGCATTTTAGTTTACAACTTTGTCCTTTCTGTTGCAACAGGTTGTAAAATGGAACATAAAGCTAGGGATTTTCTTGGCTTACAACAGACTTTCGGGGGGGTGCATGTGCTCAAAGACTCTTACCTTACTTTTCATTTTTATAGCCATTTTTCAAACTAAATCATTTAGCTTGAGTATGTTAAACCCAACCATTTTTTCTTATATATATATATACTGGGTGGAAAAGAGAAAACCAAACCTGGAAGCATGGATATGAATATATGGTGCATATCTTTGTATAGGTGTGATTCAGATCTAACAAACTAGGAGACCTGCTGTTTTCATCATGTCCAGTAGTTATGTAGGAAATGTTGTTGAGTGAGAAATTCTTTTCTGCTCCTGCATTTTGAGGTAACTGTCTCCAGCTATGGAAGAAAAGTATTTGGTCTGGGTGATGTGTGTGTGTGTACTGTATATATGTAACTTTCAGTTTAGTGATTTGTGTGATTTAGTATGTTTTTCTTGATAGATGTTTATACAAAGTGGTTACTTTAAAGGAAAAAAAAAATTTTGTTTTTTGTTTTCATGCCAAAAAGTGTCTGCAGTGTCCTGCTTTAAATTTCCAGGTGTAATGTCATGCGTCATGTCATTGAAGCCCTGACTTTGAATGCAAAGTGCAATAACATTGGAAGACACGATGATCAGTGAATACACTTAGCCAGCAGCATCCCCGCTCTCATTGCGCAGAATTAGCTTGATGGCTACGTGAAAGCTTCTCCAGGAAGTCATATTGTTTTGTTGGTGGTGCCAAGTGGAATGAAATGAACTCTCACACCTCAAATATGCAGCTGGAGTCAGATGGTGTGGGTTTTTAACAGTTAATTAATACCAATGAAATGGTAATGAAATGATTTACAGTAAATGATTGCATCAATCCAATATTATTTCAATTTTAATTCTACCCTCCAATGTCATAAATTGTCACTTCATGCCCCTACAGTGCCACAGCAGTGTTCGGACTAGCTTGGACTTCCAATATCTGAATCATCATTCTTCTTTTTTCTTCTTCTTTTTATTAAATTGTTCTCTCAGGTCTTGTCCATTAGGGGAGAACTAAAACATATCAGAAGGTATTTAGATGACCTACTTACCTTACATTACCTTACAGCACCAAAGTGAAAAGGGTTAAAGATAGGGTTGGGCTTTTGCTACGTGTAGCAGTAGAAACCGATTCTAAGAAATCTGTTTTTGGCGCAAAGCTAAAGGTCGTGAATGTATTTGTTGTTAGTGGACATGGAGAGCTGTGGACACCCGCAACGTGTTGTTGTTGTTGTTCTTATGTGCTTTCATGTTTGCTGAGAGAATGTTGTTCTTGCAAACTGGAGGTTACGCAAAGGTATCCCAAAGCTAGGCTAAATACGTTTCAAGTCAGGAAATAACATGCTTGGGTTGTAGCATGACTAGAAAAAGTTGTATTTTCAGAAATAACATGAGAACGTTTGGAAAATGTCATAATACACAGGATAGAATTGCAACCTCTTTCTATTTTTTTTATATAAAGAAAGAGAAAAATGTATGTGTCAGGACATGATATACAAATAAAAAACTTATTTGGTCCTTTACAAGTTCTAAAATTGTTTAAACAAAACCTCAGGTAAACAATGACATGTGATATATTAAACTGTCCTATTATTTAACTGAGCAAAAATGCAGAAACCATGAGTGAAAAACTAAGTCCGCCCCATGATTCAATTACTCGTTGAACCACCTTTATTAGCAATTAACTTTTTTCATAATTTTCCACGTGATGCTACTACTAGATGCTACTTTTGGATTTGAGTCAGGTTAAGTTTTAAAATTCAGGCCATTGCGACGCTTTGATTCTTGTTTTGTGGGCAATTTGGATCATTATCCTCTTGCATGGTGCAGTTTTAGCCCAGCTTTAGCTCCAGCTGTCAGATGGATCGTCACTGTTTCACTCAATCACTATAAGGTGAACAGGTCCTGCAGCTGAAAAAAAACAGCCTCAAATCATCACTCCCCCGCCACTGTGGTTGACAACTGGTATGAGGTGTTAGTGTTGATATTCTGTTTGGTTTTCGCTGTGCACTACGGCCAAGGCTCTCCACTTCGGTCTCATCGGTTCTTTGGTTTGTTCAGATGCAAATTTACAAACCTAGGCCACGGTGCCATGTTCTTTTTAGAGAGAAGAGGCTTTCACCAGGTATCCCTTCCAAACAAGCTATACTTGTTCAGTCTTTTTCTAATTCTACTGTCATGAACTTTAACATTTAACATGCGGCTTTCTGGGACGTCCACTCCTGGGGAGATTGGCAACTTGTGCATAATCTTTCTCCCTGGGAAGGATTATATTTTTGAAAATGGACTTGCAACCCTTCCTGGATTGCTGGGCAGCATCCTTAAAGCTTGAGACCACGAAAAAGCCAAAACGTTTGCTTGTGTTTGTTTGTTGCTCACAATTAATAGTCATAAGTTAATCAAGTGCATTTGATTAGCAGCACCTGGCTGCTACTCACTCTCTTAATTCCTATAGACACAGTGAGGGTGCACGTAGTTTTTCCAACACTGCTCTTTCATTTATGTCTTGGTTTTTATTAAATGAATAATATTTAATATGTCATGTTTTGTACCTATTTATAAGACTTGTTGAAGACCAGATGAACTAAAAGAGATTGTACTTTCTTTTTCATATGACTGTGCATGTACTTGTATATAAATGTTTTTCTTGATGTGTTTTTGTTGCTTTTAAAACTTTTTTTTTTTTAATCCCTCTCAGGAGTTCTTTGATCACGCAAAGAAGCTGTGGGACGACGAAGGAGTGAAAGCATGCTTTGAGAGGTCCAATGAATACCAGCTCATCGACTGTGCACAATAGTGAGTTCAAACCTTCATAATACATTTTACGGAGTTCACTTCATGAACACATGCTTTTATGTACTTGGTGGTTTGTGCTGCTATAAATGGGAAGGATAAAGGACCTGGTTTGTTTTTCATCCTGCAAATTATAATCTCTGCTTCATCTACCCCCTTGGTTTTTTGGGCTGTTTTTTTTTTTTTTTTTTTTTTCCCCCCCTGTCGCCTTTGAGGTGAAAGCTCTGCAGTGTCTGTTGGTGTCATGTCGTATATGAATGTGGCTAAGATATGTTTACTCTGGGTGTGGCAAATTGAGCAAGAGCTGTAGCTGTCCATTGGAAAATTTAGCATATCTCTCCTCATATCAGTGTTTGGCTTTTCTCCATGGCAATATGCAAAGCCTGGTCTGACCTGTATTAAAATGCCCCAGTGTTAAATTTATTGAAGCTGTTCTATTGAAAACTGTAATTAGGTAATGATGGTGTAATCTTGCAGTTCGGGGGTGTCAAACTCAGTTTAGCTCATAAACCACATAAAGTTAAATTTGGTCTTGGCTAGACGGCTGTTTCCTGCAATCTATAACTGATTAAATGCCTCTAAATCAGTTCTTTCTTTTTGGTATTAAGTAGCGTAGCTGAAACTTTCTGAGGGTCTTCTGTTTTCATTGCTATCGTTGTTGTTATTGTGGTGGTGATTGTTGTTATTGTTGCAAAACTGATGTACAGCCTGAGATGTGCAGTTTTGAGAAACATAATCGTAAAGAAATACTTATGTAGAAAATCAAAGAAACCTGTTGGTGGGCTTTGGCTTAACTGTGCTCTAAGAAACATATTAGTTGGCAGCTCTTTCACATAATTAAAAAAAGGTGAGAATTTCTCTTAACTTGGGGAAAAAACAAAGTAAAAAAAACAAACAGGAATTTTGTTATTGAATGGAATAGTAACAGTAAAAAAAAAGCCTAATTTTTTTTCATTCCTTGGTTTTGTATGGCTGGCTATCTATAATGTCAATGATGTAGACATGAAAGGAACAGTTTGGGCTCTCATGAAGTGATCCTCCAAATACTGTCCAGCATATAGGTCTTGTTTAATAGCAACTTTTACAATTTGCCAATCCATTAGATGGGCCAGATTAGTCCCTTTGTTAGGCCACTATCCCTGCTCTAGTTAAAGCTAGTATTTTTCAACTGTTTAAGTAAGACAAACATCTACCTTCGGGTTGGTTCACTAAATAACAGTGTAAAGTGTAGCAGCTACGATCTTAGTCCAGCTGAACTGTAGATGTAGTAAGTACTGATACTGCAGTGTGCAGGGTGCTGAAACTGATGTCACTTTGAGGAGAGTCCCGGATTGTTTTTACGGCTCCTAAAGCACTTTGGGCCACCATAGGGAGCTGGTTGTACACTAGGAAGGGCCCCTCTGTTCCCTGTAAAAGGAAGTTTGGATATGCAAAAGGATTCACTGATTACAGTGCTCTCTTTCTGCTTCCCCTCTGACTCACCTCTGGAGTCACATGTAAATATGAGGATATGTACATGCTGTGGGCTCAGGAGTCCCCTCCCATCCCAAAGGTTGGCTCCCTTTATCTCTGAGGGTTCGATCAAAGCGAGGTCATTATAGTAAACTAAAGTAAAACTGCAAACTAAATCTAGGTGTGGTGAAACATTGGCAGTTAACTGACCCCCCCCC